ATTTTATCATATTATAACTTATAATATGTGACGTACTGGGAAAGTTCTATTACAATTAAAATTAAGTATATTGAAACTTACGGATTTTTTGCTCTCAAAAGAAATTTTTTGTATCAATTATCGTTAATAAAATATTTATGATCAATATGATATTCAATTATTATTACAGATTAAGATTGTGAAGCTCGGAAGATGTAAAATCTAAGTGTAAAATAAATTGGACTGTACGAGCCAAGCTTGCTATCGATTGATGTTTATATGAGGGTCGTTCGATAAATCAGGTAAAAAAGCAATAAAATCATCTATTTTCTGGAAAATTCTTTTTCACTTTTCGATGTCTCCTTGGAGTTCTACACACTTAGTTCAGCGGTGTTCCAATTTTTTGATCCCTTCGGAAAAGTAGGCAGTCTCGAGGCCTTCAAAATACGCATCCACAGCAATGATGACCTCTTTATCGGACGAAAATTTCTTTTCCCCGAATCAAATCTTGAGGATTGGGAATAGAAAGAAGTCACAAGGGGCCAAATCAGGAAAATGGGATGGATGGAGCAGTTCGAATCTTAATTCATGCAATTTTGCCATTGCGACTGTGGAAGTGCCGGAGCATTGTCATGGTGAAAAATGACTTTTTTGCGCGCCAATCTCGCCGTTTCGTTTGCAGCTCTTCGTACAAACGACTCAGAAGTGTAGAATAAAATGCTCCTGTTTGACCCTTCTAAGTAGTCAATAAAGATGATTCCTTGGGAATCCCCAAAAACAGTGGCCATTATCTTCCTGACCGACAAAACAGTCTTCGCCTTCTTCGGCGCACATTTACCAGGCGCTGTCCACTGCTTCGACTGTTATTTTGACTCGGATGAATAGTGATGGATCCAAGTCTTGTCTACAGTCACGAATCGATGCCAAAGTCTTGTGGATTGCGCTTAAACATCGACAAGCACTGCTGCGAAATGTCGCATGCGTTTTTGATGGTCAGCAATCGCGGCACCCATCGTGCACAAAGCTTTTTCATTTCTAATTTTTTGTGCAAGATATTATGCATCCTATCTACTGAGATGCCTATACTCTCAGTTATGTCACGCACCTTCATTCGATCTTCCATGATGATACAATAGATTTTTTCAATCATTTTTGGCGTAGTAACTTTAACTGGACGTCCGGGGCGCGCTTCATCTTTGGTTGATGTCCAATCTCTTTTGAATTCGTTAATCCAAAAATAAACGGTCTTCAACGCTGCAGTCCCCATAAACTTCGTCCAATTCGGCTTTAATCTGCGCAGCCGTCCACTTCTTTAAATAAACATGTTTAATCACTGCACGAAATTCGTCTTTCTCCATTTTTACAACTGCTGCTCATTTCTAACGTCTGCCACATGTAAACTAAGCGTCGCTTTTGGCTGAACTTGGTATGAGGCAATTTGAATAGTGTTACTTCCTGACTATATGCTGCATATACTACACAGTTCATTATGGCGCTATCTCGCAAAAATTTACCTGACTTATCGGACGACCCTCGTATATTGAAAATAAGTAATAACAATAATATAAATAATAACATTAAAGTCTCAACCTTTAAGATGGTCTTCATCAGTATAACAATTCGATATGATATTCGCAATTCGCTATGTCATAATTAAACTTTGTTTCGTAGAAACAAAGAAAGAGTAGCGCCTTGAAGAGAAACAAACAAAGAAAAAGTAGCGCCTTGTTTTCAATGTATGAAGGCGTTGTTGCATCATCCGGTGTAAATTGGAACAATTATTGGTAGTCATGAATGTACATTCATTTGAATTAAAAGCAAAGTCATAAGAGTAATCAGAATTCCGAGAAGAAGTCTGCTTAGGATCATTTGCGTAATTAGAAATCATTTGTAAGCTAGAAAAGTTTCCCAAAAAATAATTAATTTAAAAACCAGATTGAGAAAATAAATTCGATGTAAAAATGAGTCATTAAGTTAGATGATTTGAAATGTCAAACGGAATAAACAGTAAAGATAATAACAATATAAAAACTGAAGGCTAATTACGAAATGCTTTGAATAATGATCGCGTTAAGATAGATAAGTTAACAGAAATGATGAATGTGAACATCAATAAAAAATTGGTTGTACCTTGTAATCAGTCGAAAAAGGTGTATAAATCAAATGGTTCGCTTTCAAGAGTGGTCAAGCAATTGTGAGGGTGAGAATAAAGAAGGAAAACAAACGAAAAACAAAAGGAAAGATAGTGTTACATCCGAGGTTCGAGAGGAGAGATAATACCTTTGGAGGGGGAACTCGGGTGGACGCACGGAACTGTTTTTGCTCTCCCGGATCGACGTTGTGGGGTCGATCCGCGAGTCGAACGCGCCCTAAGAGCACAGGGAACAGCTCAATGTCGGTAACACTATAACTCTTACGTGCGCTAACGCGGTCGGTGATCCGTTTTAGGTCAGAGAACCGAATCTCTTCAACCAGGAATGGTCGTGCGATCTTCAGGTGCTTAAGAATGATTCGGGGTCGAGATTTTTTTTAAAATAAATTGAAACGTAATTCGGGTCAACTATGATTTAATAATAAAAAAAGAAATACAAACATCTTAACTCTACGTTCCTACGTAATAGCAAGTGAACACAAATATTGGAGTGTACATTTGAATACTTTCGTTTCATGAAAAACTTTCGTTTACATAACTTTCGTTTACATAAAAAAAAACTTATATGTTTGAGAAATCCGCTTATCTCTAAATTCCCAATTGCTCTAATTGGCAAAAAGTTGGTTATGGCCAGCATGTCAACGGGATCGAGTTGAAGGTGTGGCGGAGGATTAGGGTAAACGCTGCGGAAAGCTTTGAACGGGAACGAGATAGGGAAGAGGGTCACGGGAAATGTACATAGGGATGGTGTCGTGAGGTTGATGTTTCGAAATTTCTTCCCAAAACTCGTTGTTGGGCTTGAATTTTCGTTTTATGTAGAAAACTCCCAGTGGTGGATGTGTGGGAGATCGAGGAAATTGGCGGACGAGATAGTAGAACTTCTCCTCGTCGAAGTTCTCTAGAGTGCACTGGTTTTCGAATTCTGCTGCGGAGCGGAAGGCGGTGGCGTACTCTTGTAATGAGATATTCGCAAGCTTAGGTTCTATTTTGATCAATTGCTCCGCGAATTCCCCGGTGTGTTCGGTTTCACGACGAATCCGCTTGTTATA